GTTTTCATAACAATGACAAAACAGATGTGGTTCATCATGTGATGAAGAGGAACAATATTAATTTTCAGTATTCCTCAACTAGTGATCTACTTCAGTTTCCATTATATCCTGTAATTACACTTGTTTTTGTAAGCCTGGGAGGTAAGAAAGATTTTTACGTTTTAAAGTGATCTTTAAAAAACAAAAAAAAAAAATGGTAGAAACGAATATACATCAGAGACCTGTATGGTGCCTAAAGCCAAAAATATTTACTGTGTGGCCCTTTAAGAATTTACTCACCCTGTGCTATGCAAACAAGACTCTTGCTTCTTTCTTTAAATGTCTTCAGAACTGATTCTGAGAAAGGTAGAAGTAGACTCAAACGCACTTTCATTTTTGAACACAAGTGCTTTTGCTTTTTAACCATCGAATAGTTGCAGCAAATTTAATTCACTGACCTTCGTTGAGCCCTTACTGTGTCCAGCACTTTGCAAGATTTAAAAGGAAAATTCACCTCTAAGACATAAAAATCACTATACTCCAAGTCAAAGTGTGGGGCTATAAAATATTTCGTGAAAAAGGAGGCAGGCGTCATTTGGGGATGTGGAGGCAAAATTCGGAGTCTGGAAGGGTAGATGGATCGCCGCATGATGTGTAGAGCTGGGAGGACGCTGCCCAGCAAAGGGAAGACAGGCAGGCGTGCAGACAGGGAGGCAGCGCTAGTTCCGAGTCGCGGCAGAGATAGGTTTGTCGTGGGTGTGGGTGGACAGAGCGGAGCTGGAGGATACGCCGGTACCTCCCTCGCTAAGGTACTCTGTGTGGGGGGCGGGGGAGAACGCTCGTGTAGGAAAACTTAAATAAAAGGGAAGCTACTGTGAACACGAATTTGTCTGGGATCGGAAGCCAGAAATGGAAAGCCATCAAGACTCACACAAGCCACGTCTCCTTTCTCTGATGGGCCACATGGTCTGACTTCCTACGTGTATCTGCGTCCCACTGTGCACCTGCTCACGTCTCCTTTCTGCTCATGGGTACGTGGAACAGTGAGGCTACTTCCTCGGTCAGGTACTGGGGTGTCTGGGTGCCGGCGACAGGAAACCTAACGGCAAGAGCTGGATATCTGGTCCCTTCACTCCACAGCAAGTGTCAGCCTGTGTGTGGAAGCTAGGGTAGGGGTGCGAGATTTGGAGAATAATCCAGACTGCCTTCTTGGAAGGGGTGTTTCCAGTTGCAAGTTCTAAAGATTTAGGAAAAAGCTGGTAAGTTCTGCACATCCACTTGACACATGCGATGCTTGTATTGATTGTTAAGAATTGAACTTTATAACCAGACATCGGGCAGTCGCGGGAGGCTTCTGATGGCAAAAACTGAGGTCAAGCGAAGGGTTAGGGCCTGAATTTACCCAACAGATGCGGCCCGGTGGGATTTTTCTTTTTTTCCCTCCCAAGAGGTATTAAAATGGGACTTGGTAGTGGCTGGCTATCGCCCCTAAGCGGTGGCGGGATCGCCGAAGACCGGGCCAGGCGCTGCGCTTGCACCCGGAGGGTGGCGGCGCCCACAGCCACGGCTTCAGGGGGCCCGCGGGGACGGGTCTCGGAACCAGGCCCAGGGGCGCGGGGTCGGACCGCACGTGGACCACGGCAGGCGGAGGGAGTGGCTGGAAGGAAAAGCGTTCCC